CATCATTACCAATCATCACCAATCATCATCATTATCACCAATCATCATTACCAATCATCATCATCACCAATCATTATAATCATCATTGTCACTAATCATCATCATTATCACCAATCATCATTATCACCAATCACCAATCATCACCAATCATTATAATCATAATTATCATTAATCATCATCATTATCACCAATCATCATCATTATCACCAATCATCATTATCACCAATCATCATCATCATCATCATCATCATCAACAACATTATCACCAATCATCATCATTATCACCAATCATCATCATTATCACCAATCATCATCATTATCACCAATCATCATCATTATCACCACTCATCATTAACATTATCATCATCAACATCATCTACAATCAGCCACCTATAATCACTCCAACACCCATCACCACAACAATTTATAATCACCACGTCCTACAAACACATGCCCACCACTACCATTTATAATCACAATCATCATCAACACAATCAATGCCTCGTCACCACAACCAACACCACAATTCAACTTACCTATCAATAGGACAGCTTTTTCTTGTTTAGCAATAGTGTCTATAAGATAATCTGTTCTGACGTTATCAACATTGGGTACCAGGATGGATGAATACTCTGGTGTAACATCTTTAGGGTACACATACTCTGGTACCTGAATAAATAACATCAACAGGAAGTGTTGTTAATAGCTATAAATAGCAACACATCAACGTGTTACCATGGTAATTCATTTAAACAAATGAGATAATACTACAACGGCAGGAATATTTATTGGGTTGAGAATTTACAAGTGCCAAAGTCAAGCCCCATCAACAAAATAGTTTCCTTTATACTCTGCTCTATTCTGTTTAAAAAATGTTGATCAAAAACTTGAAGCAATGTCATACTGTAAAGAGGTCAATTATTCACTGGGTTTTAATTTTGCTTATTTTGCTGACTGGAAAATGTGCTAAATTAACCCCTAGTGAATATGTGAAATTTAGCATAGAACACATTATCTAAATGATAAAACCGTGAATTTAAAACCCATTGAATATGCCTGAAATGGTAAATCAGCAAAATTAAAACCAAGTTAAAATTAATGAAAATTAATCATTTTACAGTATTTTGTCTGTTTGGTCTAAAATTGAGATTGAATTTGGTGAAAATTATAGAAAATCTGAACAAATTTACCCAAATTTGAGGGGGAAGAAAATGTTGTTCCCAAAGTGTTATATATACTGTAACATTTGGTTTTAATTTAAAAAACACAGTTGAGGAGCTTTGTTTCTTTAAGTGTTAACACTTCTTTTGATACCGGTAATGTTGAATCAAACAGACATAATTTCCTGTCGGCTACAGACCTTTAAAAAAATGATGTAGATTTTATTTTTGTGAAAGTTGACTCTGGCACTCAAAAGTTATCAGCAATTAAGTTATATTAATAGTAACAACTGAGTCACATTTCCATTCAATGTTATCACATGCATACATGTATGTTAATTCTGTGGTGGCCACTTCTCTTAAAAACTTACCCTCTTCTCCCAATGCTCCCAGTTTCCATTTTCATCAACAACATACTCAAATATAGTGTCACCAGAGGACACCTTAGGCAAACTCAGCCCACCTTTTTCCATCAAAAATTCTTCCATCTTAAGGGATAAAAAAAACAATTTAAATTCTCTAACGAAGAACTTCAGATGACAACTCCTATACTGAGACGGTAACACAATTTAGTTGCACAAAATATTTCTGTTTGGGTAAAAAGATAAATGTCTAGACTCATAATTATGTAACACAATTGAAACTATAAAATGCGAATGCTCAAGAACTACTTTTCGACTCATGAAATAAATCATACCTTCTTTCTGTCTTCCAGCTCAAGGATGGCACCAACGGACCACATGAGAGCAAAGACAAAAAGTCTTTCTAAGTGCTCCCTTGAAGCCCCCTTGGAACCGTCCTCCCCTCCTGGAATAAGCCCCTCCAGAATGTCAATCGCCTGGCGGGTATATACGCACTCCAAGAGGTCCATCTTTGGAAACAGGTTATGGAAGACGTACAAGAGCGTATCCTTGAATGCATGCTCAAACAGTGGCATCAAAATAGACTGCTGATCAACTGGTCTTGTCGTCAGCCAGCCCTATTGTAAGGGATAAATAATCAACTATTAATTAAAAGAATAATTACAGTTATATAGCAGTTGGAATGTCTTCCTGAGTTACAGTTAAATTTAATCAAATCTTTGGAGAAAGGCCAAACTTTTCAAACATCATTTTTGTCACATCAAAATTGATGGTGCCACATTTTGATTTATGGAGGGGGGGCATTGTAGTATAAGGGCACTTAATACAGTAGTGCAATACCTTTTTTTTCCGGGGAATTACTTTAAAATACTTTATTTTAGCTACAATTAATTCTCGCTGAAAAGACTTTTTTGGTGTTTTGTATGGAATTTATTTTCACTGATTTTTGACAAGTTGATTGTAAATTATAGAAAAAAAAGGAAAATTGGCTGGATTTTATTTTCACTGAATCCGTCCTTCAGCAAAATGGCGAAAAATTAATTCCAAGCGAAAATAAATTATTTTACAGTAGCGTTGGGGCTAGAGCTTAGGGGCCTGTATATTTCAGAGTTTTAATTTTGGTTTGTATTTTGAAACATCCTTACAATAATGATTTACCAGTATATTATTCAAAATGGCGACATTTGACCGAATTTGTTTGCCAATTTTACACCAAATGGGTATAATTTCCCATTGCATACATTTCTCGGTACAAAAAAAAAATTAATATGGGGGGAAAAAAAAATATGAAGAATTACCAGTACTTTGTGAAAGGTGAGAACCCTTGGAGTTTAAAGGATCAACACACAGATAGTGACAGCAATTATTCACGAGAAAACCTACCTGAATGATGGGGCTCCAATCCATGATGGAGGAGCTCATGAACACCATACCATTACGTGATACAGTAGCTGGCGACGCATTGTCAATGTTATGTACTTCAAAAATAATTTTACAGTTAGGTGCCATGGGAATACGATCACCATTGGCAAGTGTCAGTGTTTTGTTGTCATCAAGCACACTGTTCAGATTCTCAATCCAGATGGCGTCTACAGGGCCATCCAATATGAGCCAAACATGGTCACCCTATAGGGGAGAGATAAAGACAGTTATAAAGTTATAAATGTATAATATAGTGTCAAATCCATTTACAGAATAGCAGATTAGTGTGTTGATTCCGAGTCATATTAGGTTGATATGCACAGTCTAGACCGTAAGAAGATCCATAAAATATATTTGTCAATTTCTACATGTCTGAAATGTTGGTTACTCTTTCAAAGTAATCTCCTATGAGTTAAACATGTTATTGAATATTGTGTCTTGATTAATAAGGCATATTGTAAGGTAATTACGTCACAAAAAAAACATTCCCAAGACACTAGATTCCTTACTATATGGTAGATACCAAGTGAAAAGTCAAATAAATCAGAGACTTGGTAATGTAACCTAAGCGATTCTGAGAAATTACACACCAGGGATGTGCACAATTCGCTCAGTGACTTCACCAAGTTGCTTAGTAAAATGTTATCAATTGAATTTATTTTCTCAATAATATGAGCTTCAATTATTAATATTGAGAATCCAGAAAGAACAATTTTCTGAATTAAAACTTACTTTCTTAATTTTGAGCGTTTTTCTCCACAGTGTTGAGAAGATACCATCTGTCCAATCATTGGTAGCGACATCTAATCGTCCAAACATCTGTGGTGCGGTGATAGCCTTAGGGTTCATCCTCATCTCCTTGTGTGGCTCCCCGCAATCTGACATCGCTTTCATAAGTATGCTAATACACTTAGATTTACCAGCACCGCTAGGTCCTAGCGTCATCATTCCGTGACGTACACGTTGGGTCTCATATAACTGGATCAATTTGAGTACCCATGGAGCATGGTGAACTAACCCAGCATTTGCAACTTGGTGCTCAATAGCAGCTTCCATTTCTGGGTAACCTGCTTTGTCCAATTGCATTCCAGGGAACAAATCATCAATCAGCGACAAGAACAGAGGTTCATCTTCATCTACCTGGAAAGAGAAACAATCAACAAACAAACAATTAACAGTGTTCTCATGGTAACAATAAACAGTTTGCTGCAGTGATTTTGTTTGGCATGGCCTACAACAAACTGTCATGTCATGTTTGTTGTTTGTTTGTCATACTTGTTTTGTTATGTTTTTAGCTTTATTCCTTCTTACAAGTGTAGAAACCAAAAAGAATTTTTGTTAACGTTGTAATAAAGCAATATTTTATTCTATTCTATACTTGTAATGCTGATGCTATATAAACCAAAGAAAATATTTCTAGTACGTGACATTTTTTTTCAAGTTTTAAAAATGCAAATGCTAAAAAAAAATTGGTTCAATTGGTTTTCTAAATTTAATATGCGTGAGCGGCTTTTTATTTTTATTCTTATTCTGTCATGGAAATTGTAATTTGTTTTATTTATTTGTAAAGATGAATATTTTTTTTTGGTCTAAAAGTGTTGACAAAAACAAATGACATCACAAGGAATTATGTAATGTAATACATTATTCGTGAGGGATGACTGAATCAGACAAACAAATGAGTAAACAAAAAATAAAATCGCGACATAAGTTGTGGCATAGAAATAAACTTAAGGGCTTTGTTATAACAAAGCCTTCCTTAGTATTCACAGCAAATTACCAAGAATATCAGCAAAGTAACGTAATTGCGCTTAAAAATGTCTATCATCTGGAGATGTTTGACCTCTTTCACACAATGTACTACGTTCTATTTTTCCAGTAAGATCTTGTAATTGTGATAAACGATTTTGATTATTTTTTTCTTCAGAGAAACAAATATTTTAAATAGTTTGAATGCAACTTACCAATTTTGATAGATTCATATCTCTTAAAACTCTCATCACGATGGTCTGTTCACTGTCTTCAGGATTAGCTCGTTTGAAAGCTCCCAATGTACGCAATACAGATAGAATATTACGTAAACCAAAGTCATAATGAACCTGTAACAACAAGAAAAGCATATGTGTGAACAATTTGAATTTGCATCCATTCACGTTTTTATCGTCAGTACCCGTAAAATCTGTATTAGAAGCCGCATCCCTAATAGAAGTCACACCCATTCTTTTTGAATAATTGAGAAACAAAATTTCATCATTTCTCATATGTGTGGATGCTCTAATAGAAGCCACATTCCCTCTGTTACATTGCACCATTTTAATAGAAGGTGCGGTTTCTAATACAGATTTTACAGTACTTGCTACTGATGGGTTGACCGGAACTATGGCAAATTGGATCATCATCAGTGCACAGTCGAGAAAACTATATGAAAACTATGGGATATGATAAACATAGGCCATATTTGCAAACAGTTTATTTTTCAAAATTATTATTATTCACTCACTCATACAAAATGGTTTTTAAAATGTCTTGCAAATAGAGAAAAAAATAATTACAAATGAGTAAAACCTCCACTAAGTGTATGCGTCTGTCTCTTGATTCAAAACTCTGATACAAATGTCAACTGACGTTAAAAATAAATTCAAGTTAAGTACAATTAGTACTCATGTTAATTACAATTAAGAGCAGTGGTCGTCATGCAGCACACATGCAAATTTCATGTAAATAAACAATGCATTTTTATGAGCATTGTGTACGTTACTATGAGTCCCATATCGAACAGGACGCCATGTAATGCAATGCCCACCACCCTTAAACTAAAATAGAATATGGTTGTAGTAATATATAATCTTGCCAGGTGGACAACTTACTTGTTTTGTCAATTGCTCTTCACACAGTTTGTAAAGAGTGTAAAATTTCCTGGCTAGCAAAACATTTCCCTGGAAACCAGCACTAGCAAGTTTCACTCGCATAATGATCTGTCTGTCCGGTACCATCATAGCTACGGTACGGAACTGAATCTTCAGATTTTCCGGCAATTCCTGACGACCTGCATAACCAGGGTTCTATAAAGATGAATAGAAAAAAAATATTTTTTTTGTTTTTTTTTTTAAAAAGGGAAGCACTCCGACACAATGTTTGAATGTATAGAGATGCAGAAAGGACTTGATCAGATTGTTGTTTCACATGCATTAACAGAACTGGTATAAGCCTTTCTGTATTTGATATCATGAAAGCTCCAACACAAGATACTGTGAAATACTTTATTTTCGCTTGGAACTAATTTTTGCTGAAGGAATGATTCAGTGAAAATAAAATGCAGCGAATATACCTTTTTTTCCTATATTTTACATTAAACTCATCAAAAATTCCATACAAAACACCCAAAATGTCTTTTCAGCGAAAATTAATTCCAGTGAAAATAAAGTATTTCACAGTATTCTACATTATTATTTGTATAAAAACTTTTGATGAGGCTCATTTATGGCCACCATATGTAAGCAATTATGTTCACAATACTGAATGTGCAAAGGGTAAATATGTGAAAATAATACTTAGATGCATGGGAATTTGATATAATTATTATTAAAATGATAATTATTGAATTGACGTAAACAAGTTTAACTAAGGGTACACAACTACCCACAATCAGCATACCAGTATGGGATTTAACCCCTACAGCAGCTAGACACCATTCATCACCATTCATAAAATCCCCTAAATTTGTTCCAACTCACCATCGTGATAAATAGACCAAACTCGGGGTCTAAGTCTACATTATCCCCGTCAGTAAAGATAAATGCACTCTTCCTTTCTTTCTTAGCTACCAGGATAATAGCAATTTGTTGAGCTGCCACAGACAATACTGGTAATTCAATACGATTGAATTCATCAAAACATCCCCAACTACCTGACTGGGCAAGACCTGAAAACAAAAATGGAAGGTTGAGTCTGAGGTTTGTTGTGCATGTATATAATTTTCTGAAATTGTTATCTTTTAATAAAATTTTTATTTTTATAATACACAGTTTGATAATATTGGAAATATTTAACAAAAATCATTACCTTAGTTATCATGGCCACAAGAAAGTTTTAATGATGACAAACAACAACAATGACAAACATGGCAATCTCTATACTTTGCCACTTCGTTATTTATTATGGACCAAGTTGAAAAATCAGAATTTATAGAGCAAAAAACTATTGAAAACACATTTTTTAGCACTTTCAAGCCTACAAATATTTTGCGAATTGCACAGAACATACATACTGTTGCAACTCTGAAAGTGTGTGTCTCGGTGTCTCGGTTTTTCGATATCTGCCTTCATTTTTTCCTTATGCTGCTAATGAATCGTCGATATCATGTTACTGTGGTTGTTATTTGGTCGTTGCTAGAAAAAAACTATTACATTTGCTGGGAAATATAAAAAAGGTTTTCTTACCTTTGTAGATACGTCCCAAACCACGGAAGTCCATCTGATCTGAGCAATTGAACACAACAACATATTTGCCCAAAGCTTTGCCCATATCTTTAGTGGTCTCAGTTTTACCAGTACCAGCAGGTCCAGCTGGGGCACCACCCATACTCATACCTAATGCTTGAGATAGAGTGATGTAACATCTGCAGGGAGAGAAATATTTTTATCATTTCATGTTAATAAATGGCAGTCAATCAGCCAAGTTTGGAAGTGCTTCAAAGAGTTAAACAGACTGCATTTGACAACATTTTTCCAAACATATCTATATAATAATCAAATATATGCAGAAAAACACATTTACATTCATCAGTGTTGTTAGCAGAGAAGCAATGTACATTGTAACATTGCCCACCGGTGAATTTTTCGTAATGAAATGTAATAAAATGTAAATGAAATAAACAATATTATAAAGCTCATTTCAAAGCTCTGATGGGATTTATCACCCAAATAGAGCATACTTCAAATTTATGCTGCCCACACTTAAATTGTTTAATTTTTTTTTTTTTTATAATTTTAAAGAAGTCAAGTAAGTCAAGATAATAGAACAATAGAGGTAAAGACTATATTTAAAAAAAATGAAAAAAGGGTGGGCATTCATAAAAATACAAGTTTCAATTAATAATATGCCATTATTTGCTAATTCATAGGTGATAGAACATGTTCTCATTTGAAAACTCCTGCATGTTCATTTTGAATCCATGTCTACAACATTAATCAGATCAAGTACCATTGCTTACCTGTCAGTGAGTGGCGTGATGACGAGACGGTCAGTACAGCCCACAGGTTCATTCATATAATGGAAATCAACATCAGTAATAGAAATAAGGCACTCATCGGTGTCTTCTTTGAAATAAAAACGCGACTGCTTCAGCCATTCAAAATCATTCGGTGATTTGATATGCATGCGTACTAGATCATCAAATATGTCACGTTGGTGCACATGGATAGTGATGAGAGTCTCGAACTTTGTCCTCTCGTATTTTGTCAACTCCTGGGTTGTCATGTCAATCAAGGTATTGAGCATATCCAAGAAATACTGGTTGGTAGTTGCCATAATCTGGAGTGAAATTAAAAAATAACAATTATTTAATTAACTGTATCAAAAATAGGTGTATATAATGTTTATTGTGTACATCACTCACAAAAGATTCGCATGTAAATATGAAATTTTGACACTTGTATGCAAGTTGCAGTTATACAAGATGGCACAATTCAGCAAATGTCTGCTGCTTTCCGTTACTGATGTATGGTTAAGAATATAATTCATATCAGCATTTAACAAAAATATAACAGCATGCCCTCGTAAAATATTCCCCTGGCATCAAGTAAAAATTCTCATACCGGTAATCAGGTTACAATAAGCACAAAGCATTGGATGTACCAAATTTCAGTTATTAATTCAGCATAAACGTACAGTAAACATCAAAATATCAAACACAAGACACATAATATAATCTTAATAGTTGAGTATGTATTACTCACTTTCTTGTCTGCCCGGGCGTTTTTCAGAGCTTCCTCTGAATCCCTAGTCCATATCATTTGTAGGCATAAGAGGCCTACTTGAGCTGGGTAATGTCCTTGAAATTCAATCAGTTTAAAATTCTCCTTGTCTCCGATAGCAACAGAAGCGGTTCTTATAATTGAGTGAATAGAACGACGGACAGTGGCAAGCAACTCACCGAGCCAGATTTCCACATTACCCTACAAGATAAAAACAGTAAAACATTACATTAGTTACAGTAAAACATGTCTTTTTCGCGAATTTAGTGAGAGAACTAATTCGCTAATTTAAGATGTCACTGATGACTTTATTATAAATTCAAAATGGCGGCCAAACAACGTCTTTTTTTCCACACACAGACTTTGTAAACACAGAAAACGTCATAATCTGGAGCGCTTCCTTATTACACTTGACAGTTTTTCTTTTTGTTTTTATGGATGTGATAACTGTGCATTTGTTTTGGCACGTGACAGACAAGTATTGTGAAAACAGGAAATCAACAAAGACAAGGGAGATTTGCTAAATCAACATTTCGCTATTATGTCATTTTACCACAATAGTAAAATAGTATGTCGCTTTTTCAACATGTTTTACAGTAATCATGACACATGCATATGATAGGCCATATGATTTGGTAGGTAAAAGTTTTTGCTTGAATTTATGACAAAAACTGTATTTACATAATGCAAATTTGAGGTATACACAATTTGATGGAAGCATGTATTTGTTTATTTAGTGAATACTCACCTGCGCATTGACGTTTTGGTCCAAATCAATCCTCTCCACTTCTCTGGAATTAACAGCAAGGATGAGATCATAGTTCTTCTCGTGGAAAGTAACAGTCTTAACGTTATCGAACAAACCCTCCAGATGTTGCTGGATGGTGTGCGAGTCAGATGCCTGACCCAAGATTTCAAGAAGTGCGGGATCAGAGACAAAGAAGAATCGAGGGAACAGCAAACGTTTCTTTTCTAGATAACCCGTCAGGGATTTTTGACATATTTCCAGCTGTTCCAGAAGATGGGGCAAGAGTTGTCCGAGAGTATCGTCACCAACACAGCACTGCACAACATTTGCGTTCTCATGAGCACGCTGCATGATCTTTACCCATGACTTATCAATATTTGTAAATCTCTTGGCTTCCTGCATGAAACAAAAGAATGTGACAAACAGTAAGTATAAGTTGCATTGCCATTTTGCACATGTTAAAAAAATGAAGCTGTTTGGCTAAAACAAATATACTTTATCACTCATTCATTTCAGGATTACTAGAGGGTATTATAATTTAAACAAATATAGCTACAATGTAACTGATAGGAATGTATATTATTTACACATCTAGCTTAAAAATAGAATCTAGGAGGCCATAAAAAGCTGTATTTTCACTTATTTCAACATTTTTCTTGTATAAAGAAAACTATGTCACCAACACTGAACGTTCCACATAATATTCCAGATTATTTACGACACTTCTCTTTGTTTCAATGAATGCAGAAACAATATACTGTAGAATACTTTATTTTAGCTGGAATTAATTTTTGCTGAAAAGACATTTTGGGTGTTTTGCATGGAATTATTTTTCACTGATTTTTGACAAGTTGAATGTAAAATATAGGAAAAAAAGGTATATTCGCTGGATTTTATTTTCACTGAATCATTCCTTCAGCGAAAATAGCAAAAATAAATTCCAAGCGAAAAATAAAGTATTCTACAGTAGCATGTGACAGAAATAAATTCCATCACAAATTCCTTTAGTTTACGTTTTTCAGGATTTCACGATCACGAAAGTATGGGCTTGACACGAACTGCAGTCAAATATTGAAACAATTGATGATGCAGTGTAAACCTACCTGTGGTAATTGTTTAGCAATGTCACCACCTACAAACACAGCTTCCAGATATATCCATAGATTCTGTACTATCATCCAATTCTCAATAATCTCTGTAGTACCGGATAGCTTCTGCACCCATTTCTGGATTTCTGGCTTGAACGGCGCGTTATACCTATAAAGAAACAGACAATTGTGATAATGATGATAATGACAACAAGATGAATCAAGCCATAATCTAAGATCAGTAGTTACAGCATTTATGAGTTGTTTGTCTCAGAACTTGTCAGTGGCTGATTTATTTTTTATCTGAAAAATTTCTGTCATGTAGTATAGATTTGAATGCTGCTGTAAGGCAAGTTCTCAGCACAATTAGCTTAATAGAAACTCCATGTTCAAAGTTTGCTTGGACGCAGTGGCCGAAAATATATCATTTTAAAAGAGAGAGGCTTAACATTGGCTTTTATTGTTAACTTATGTAGAATACTTATTGAAAAAGAATTAATTATTCACTGGGTTTTAATTTTGCTTATTTCGCTGACTGGAAAATGCGCTAAATTAAAACCCAGTGAATATGAAAAATTTAGCATAGAACACATTATCTAAATGATAAAACCATGATTTTAAAATCCACTGAATATGCCTGAAATGGTAAATCAGTGAAATTTAAATCCAGTGAAAATTAGTCATTTTACACTACATTAAATTTTGATTCATTAAGAAAACTGTATTTGAATCTTTGGTTTGAAACTCCCATGTATGATTGGACTTGATGACATTTTCAGTTATCTTCAACTTTTTGCCAACAACTTTTGACCCAGATTTCTTGTGAATATGTCATTGATAGATGGCATGTACATACTACTTCACATTTCAAAGGCTATATACAAAATATATTCAAAATTAAACTGAAATTATATTAAAACTGAATCACTTTACATTGCAACTGTAATAAGTGGCTAAACAGAAACAAAATTGTCTCAATAGCGGGTTGTTTCACCACATGATGCAAATGTGAAAATATTTTGTCAGTTTTGTTGGTGTGAGAAAAGTAAATTAATCAAAACTGATTAGGTAATGTGTGGTCATTTATATTTATTTGTACCGACCTGTTGCTCATCAGTGAGGCCAATACCATCAAGCTGTCTTCCATCAGCGAGATAATATCACCGGTGTGGTCACCTTTCAAAAGTAATTCACCACGTGCTTTAAAAGCTGAAAACTGAAACATCTGAGCGTTCCATTCAGCGATCACCTGTTTCAGTTTGGCCTCTATGTCTTTTTCTTTCACAGCTGAGATACACACATCCTATTAGAGGGGGTGAAAAATAGATCAGCACTTATACATGTGCATACAGGAGGGGGTGTAGTGGGGTGGGGTGGGGTCTTGGCCCATATTATCGATGTTGTGTCAGGAGGGCGAGAGGGCTGGTAGTTTTGTGTGTGGGAGAGGGTTATATTACAGGGTGTTGTGTCACCAACTTTTGGATATGGTGCAGTGGTTGTGCATTTGTGGTGTCAACATTGTGACGACTTTCATTTAACTTTACCTACCTACAAAGTGATGATGGAATGATGGTGGATCAAATGATGATCCTCACTATTTTCATAATTTATATTAATAATTAATCAAATTTTAGTCAAGTTTGCATAGCTTAGGTTTAGTAAAGGGGGAGGTATGGCACAATTTATTATTATAACTATATTGAAAGTTAATCCAATGTGTGTCGTTACAACGATGGTATAATGTGTATGGGTGGTTTTGTGGTGGTGGGGGGTGATATATTATAGGTGTGATGTCACCAACATAGAGAGAATGTGCAGTGGTTGGCAGTGATTATGTGCATGTGTGGGAGATATGTGATGTCACCAACATCAGAAGTACATGTGTGATACCACGACATTTGGAGGAGGGAGCATATATTATAGATGTAGTAACAGCAACATCGGGGGGGGGCATATAGTGTGGGGTATGAGGCAACATACAGGCAACATAGGGGAGATGGATTACATAAAACACTGATATTAGACATACAAATTGAGTTTGTGCCAGCTTATAATACTGATAAAATGTTACAGTAGTTTTTTAATCAGAACCAAACTTCAAAGTTTGTCGAATATTTTGTTTGTTAAAGAGCAGTAGTCGTCGCGCCACCCATGTGTGAGATATATGGGTCTCATATAAACAAAGATGGCGGCTTTAACTGTTGTGCAGATCAACGAGTACAAACTGATATGTTACCAAGCATTAATTTGGTATTTTATTAGGTGATTGGAAAGTATCAAAGAAGTCACCGGCGGTAATCAGTGCAAGTCGCGCCCAGGTCAAACCTCATATTTGTGATTTCCATTAGAAGAGAGCATTGGATTGTGGGAAAATCAATGTTTATCAAACACAAATGTCGCACATGCACAGTTGCCCTTTAACATGTAAAAAAAAAAATTAAGAGAATTTGAAAAAAATTC